TATTACATAATTTACCAAAGTTTTAAACATTAGAGAACATGTGATGTGACATGTGGTCCACTTGCTACCCAACATTAATTAGTACACGCATTTGAAATTTGGTAAAAATGTAGGCAATAAGCTTAAATTAGTCAATGGATTTGATTGCGCTTTACAATATTGTTCTCTGACTCTCTCTTTCAATTCGATGGAAACGACAAAAATATAACGAAATATGTAACAATTTAAATGGCAACACCAAATAGCTTCATAACTTCAAAGACTACACAATAAAAGCCAATGACTAATGAGGTGCCACTCAAGTGAAGGGTTGGTTTACCAAAAATACCTTTACAAAGGTAGTCACATAATCATTTACATGACGATTTAACGAATATTGAAAGACTTTTTACGAAATAACCAAATTGATTTACAGTGTAAAAACCTAAGGACCACTTCTATCGATTGTCATTATCAAAGACCAAACTGATGAAGTATTGTCAATCTCGAAGACCATTTTGAGTAAAATCAAATTATTTTCTGCCAAAGGGCCAGCAAAGAACAATCTTCTTTTCCAGTGCATATGGTACCGTTTGGTACGCAGACGAGACGGAACGGGACGGAATAGGCCGGAACGGATGATGTAATATTGAAAAAGATAAGGAGAAATTGTCATAAAATGTTATAAATTTGTGTTCCACAGATGTGGAACGGGTCGTTCCAGGGGGAAGAGGTGGAACGAAAAATCAACAAAATTTTATCCCATGAGGCAACCCGTTCCACAGTTTTTAGGCGCACCAAACGTGGGACGGAACGGCTCTTCCCGTCCCGTCCCACGTACCAAACGGTACCACATTGAACTGGATCTCGGCACCCATCACTCTCACAAACGAGGGTTTAGCAGACAGACAGGAATGGTTTCTCCGACTAAAATCACAGACAAGGCTAGCTCGTAAAACCTTGTATCAAAAGTTACCATCTTCAGCTCAGGTGATACTAGGGAGATATTTGACTCACAAAATGCTCTTGACAAAGCAAACTCAATTATATATATATATATGGGTAACAACCTCTTCATAAATGGGGGTAAGGCTAGCCGACATTCACCTCTCCCAAACCCTGCGTAAAGCGGGAGCCTTGTGCACTGGGTACGACCTTTTTATATATATATGGGTAACCTAACACAAAAAGAGGACCAAGAAGAACGGTGTCACTCGTACAGAAAAATATGACTAGCAGTAATAAAGATTGTCCCGAATACCTATCATCGTGTCTTTCCTTTTTATACAAATTAGAATTCAGGTGAGAACAGACATCAACCTAGACAGATGTTACATGTTTCAGATAAGGCAGTAAAGTTAGCCGTTGATACAACAAAACAGGAACAAAGGAATCGTATACACAATCTCTTCCTACCGTGGACATAGTATCATATCGAATGTGCCACGAAAACTGAAAAGCATAGCTGTTTGCAAGCTACTGGCAGACATATCATATCATTGTCATTACACAAAGAACTAATCTATCACTACTTTTTACCTTTAATCCACATTTTTTTCAGCAGGTGAATTCACCTTCTTCACAATATGTAGTCAGTTCAGAAGTTATTCTGCACATAAACCAAAATCCACAACGATGCAAATAGTCTTACCGAATAAGAAAATATCCAACACTTGACAATTTACCAACTTAAATGGCAACACCAAAAGGCAAAGTTAACAAAAAGTTGAATTCAAAAACTACACTGCAGTGCCACTCAAGTGCCCAGATTTGGTGCGTGGCTTGCTATTGGTGCGCCATGTGAATATCTCCACTCATCGCAGGCTGAGCATTTCTCTAACTTCACACAGTTTTCCAAAGTGCAGAATCTACAGGACCAGACTTTATAATTTGAACCAACATCCTTTGGTTTCATTGTGTTACAAACCTCGCATATTGGAGCTAACGGCTGCATTGTTCCACCCATCATTCACACATGCAAAACAAGTACATTTCAAGTTTGTAACATTAAGTGTATAGATGAAATTTGCAACATTAGAAACAATCGGTAATATCATTCTTTTGAGAAACTCAAAAGGATACAATTTGATTAAATGAGACTGAAATTAAGATAATTGGAGATGCGCTATGAATTAGAAATAGAAACACTTACGGGATTCAATAAAGTGCACGTTCCACACTGCCAAAGAGCAGTTGCTTCTGGGTTATGTGTTCCTTCATTATTAGACATGGAGCCAGAAGATGAAACGCCCAACATATCCTCTACACTAGATCTAGAATTATGATTGGAATGAAACATTGAACTGTTTTCTGATTCCCGACTTCTCTTTTGCGGTGTGATGTCACAATCGATCATGGACTCAGATATTGAGTCATCCCTCGATAAATCTACAAATTGGTATCCTAAATTGTATTTGGAAGATTGCAAACGACTATTGGTATTTAGTTCACGACTTCTTTTCCCCAATAGTTTATCTGAGGAAGGTGCTTTCGCACCACTGTGAGTCCCCAATAATTTATCTGAAGAATGTGCTTTTGCACCACTGTGGGACATTGAGCTTCCAGCATTTGGCCTTATATTTTCATAGTCCTCTGATTTATCTGATTTATCAGAGCTGCATTCTCCATCCTTTGAAGCTTCAAAAGACACCGATCCACACCAGATATCGTCCTGCCATCTCCTCTCTGCAGCCATTGCAGCAGCTTGCACCGGACTAAGTGCTGACATAATACTGTTATCACCACCAAGACGCTTAGGTCCAGATGACATCAGGGATCCCAAAAGGACTCTCTTTTCTGCAGCAGCAAGTGCAGTTTTCCGGAGAGAAGAAAGAGGAGGCGGACGTGAAAAACCCAAACGTTTCCCTGGAAGATCAAACCCCTCTCCACTGCCAGTTATTCCCTTAGCCATCAGCTCCTCACATTCCTGTACAGACACAAAGATTCAAAAAAGGCAACACGTCTATATAAAAGCTAAAACTAACGAAAGGCCAACATAGAACACCTTTCGAAGTTCATCCCATAGCTTGTAGAACTTGGCATCGTGAGGGCCATGAACATTGTGACAAAGCTCGTGAAGCATTGTGTCAAGAACTTGATCAAAGGGATAAAAATCCGTATCCCTGTTCGGCCTACGCAGCCTCAGCTTCACGTGCACGCCACGGTTCACGTTCAACCCCAGAAGACGAGGGTTGTTCGGGCTGTATCATCATCAAATAATTTACATCACTTGATGCCCACAAAAAGAATCAACATTTTGGACATACAAAAAAATAAAAACTTCATTTGTGAAAATTTCAAAAACGTCACTCCGACTCCATATCATCGCTGTAAATTCAAAAAGCAGTAAACACATACCCAATAAACAAATCAAAACACTTTCTCGGAATCCAAACATTGCACTGCCTAGGTTGCAATCATTTTCTCAGCAACCAAACAGAAAATAACGACCAAGGAAAGAAGTACCAGAATTCAGAGAGGATCTTGACGCGCCATCTGTGATTGCGCATAATGGGCTGGACCTGTATGGCAATTTTCTCGAGAATCTTCCTGGCTTCATCTTCCCGATCCTTTCTTTTCAGAGTTTTGATTTCCCACACCTTGTTCAGGTCCCCCAGATTCATCTTTCTGAGATCAATTGAACATTTGAGGAAACCCCCTTCTGAATTTGAACCCTACTAATTAATCCCTAATTTCGATTTTGGTTTGGGGTTGGAAATTTGAAGAAATTGGGAATTTTGCCCGATTTCGAGGAAGTTGGCGCGCTTTCGAATGTATCGCACATTCGCACGTGTGCTTGTTTTGATACAAGGTTTTCGATGCATACTGATATTTTGAGGTGACATGATCCGGTATAAAACAATCGGTTTGGTTTAATTTCGGTTTGGCTATGAGGTGTGTTCGATTTTATAATGTTTTTAGTGTTGTAAATAGTGAATGTTCATTGTAAATGTAAGCAACCAAGTATGATTCATACATTTACAACGTGATCAAGGAAAGTGGTATGATATGTTTGTTAGGTTAAAAAACACTTTATTTATGAAACAATCATCTAAGCGAAAGAGAGGAAAGAAAGAAATCGAACGGAAAAAAGAAAAGACAGAAGAGAAGCAGGTGAAAAATATCAACGAGTTACCAAACTTAGAGAGGAGAGAAAATAATGTAAGTTATTTTGTATTCTTCTTATTTCATATAATAAAATAAAATACTAATATTAGGTAACACTTGTCAAACCTCATAAATATTGTGTCTTATTTATTTTATATTTCATTGCACACATCTCGTGGATCTCAAAACATTAAAGCTTTTTTTTTTGGAAGCGACTCGCATTTTTTTTTAACTGATACACATGCCCTTTACCTCTCATGCTTTTGCATTTAGATGAGTCAATTTAGCTTCTAGCAAGTTGATAATTGGAGATAGCAGTCGGACGGAATACTTTTGGTTCTAATAAATTTGTGAAACGATTGGTTGAAATAAAGCTAAAAAAACGTATAAGAACCTTTTTATTTTTATTTGATAGGTTTCATTTTATGGTGATTGGGAGCTTTTGATTTAAGAATTAACTGTAGCAACAAGAAATTTTGCTCATTTGTAACCAAAAAATCACAAGTTCGAATCATGAGAACAGTCTGTTTGCAACACAAGAATAAAACTGCGTACGATAAACGTTTACATCTTCCTCTTCATCCGACCCCGCAAGCAAAGAGCCTTGTTAGTTAATAGAGGAAATACAATAGTCCTAGATTTATCAAAAAATCCTAAATTTGTTAAGAAAAGTAAAACTAAAATACCAAACCAAACCAAACGGATTCATTCCGATTGTCGGTGGTGTAACCAGTCGTATTTGGCGAAAAATCCTACCCCATAGCTAGTCTAGGCTTAAGCTGAACCCGATGTAAGTGGGGGGTTCTGGTTCGACCCAACCTTATACTTTTGAGAGCCCAAACCCCAACTAAAAGTGAAATGACAGGGTGGCTTGTTTGTTTTTTGGTCAAGTATAGGGTAGCTAGGTGATTGGTCAGTAAAAACACCGACTCTCTCTCTCTCTCTCTCTGCTCCAAACAAAACACTCTGTCCTTCTCTGTCCCTCTTCTCTCTATCACCTTCTCTGCTATATAAAAATCCCATCTTTTGGGTTTCTTAATCTCGTGCGTTATATAACCCGGTAATTTTTCCGGCAAGATTAGAGCCAGAAAGTGTAAAAACCCGTGTTTGGATTTATTGTGATAGTTTTGGTTTGAGGGTGTTTGTGGGGTCGGATTGGGTTTTGCTTCAGAGGGTATAACAATGGCGGGAATAGCAATAATCCTAGATCTGTTGAGGAAAAACCCAAGTCCTAGTACAGTCCAAGCGTTACACTCTGCTGGGTATTTCTCAGCCAAAGCCGCCGCTTCTGCCGCTGCTGCGTCTGTCGCAGCAGGTGCTCCATATGCTTATAAGGCACTATTTGGGTACTCTCTCCATCTCTCTCTGTGTCTCTCCCTAAATTCCTTTTATAATTATTTGATATGGAGTTTAATTGAGATGTAGATATGATATAAGTGAGTGGTATCGCTTATCGCTGCATTTATATTTGAGAATCGGAAATTGGTGGGTTGATTATTTTGTTAATTACCCATTAGTATACATGGCGTTTGTTGTATGGTCAGTGTTTGGAATTTTATCATACCCCGAAACTCGATTTAGGGTAGGTTTCATATTGATTTAGGGATAAACTATAGGATGTGAACAAGTTTGAGTGCGGATAAAGGCTCACTTAGGCTGTTTTTCCGGTTGAACATTTCAGGGAAGTTCTAAACCTATCAAAGTTATAGGGGTGGCCTATATGGTTTTGGTTGATTGTGTTTGATTTGATTAATAACTTTCTGGGGTATAGTGCATTGTTGGAATCTTATATGGTTGAAGCTGAAGAAAAATTATATTCGGGATTGTTATTCCGATGTAGGTAATGCAAAATCTTGATATCAGGACACCAAAACTTTGGCGCCATTGGGTTTTATCTTCAGTTGTTTCGGTCCTTATATTCTTTCTTGAGCTTGCTGCATACACTTGAAATCAAATGGTCGTATAATATTTCCCTTTTTGTACTTGCCCTTGTCAATCTTATCTCTTTATATCTTTGAGGAATGAAGATACCTCATATTCTTTGTTGTCAGCCGGCGTTTGACTATGTACTAACTTTTTAGTGCTATGAAACAGTAATTTTAGGGTACCGGTTGCCTATTGTGATGCTGGGACAGCATGGTCCGAAGATTATGTTTCTAATTTACGAAGTGCATCTCAACGAATCTTTCAGAGTGATTCTCTGAATTACAGTACCAAGGAATACAAAATTGAGTTAAAGCCTCTATTCTCAGCTTTTGAATGGAGGACTCTAACTATGACATCCCTGAGGTCATTTTTAATGTTCTTTTTACCTCTTCTGGAGCCTCGTACAAACTTGGAAGAGGATGATGATGACTTCCTGTCGGACACTGAAGAAGTGCAACCTGTAGATTATGTTGTTCCTCTTAAAAAATCAGTAGTGCAAATTATTCGTGAGGTGAGTTGTTTTGCCTGAATTCTTGTTTCTATTTTGAATTTAGTTTAATGAAATTCCGATCATACACAATGTCCTCAAATAAGTTCCGTTGGTTCCATGGTGTATCTGAACAGTGTTTTTTGGGCTTAAAAACTGTAATGATATTTTTTTACACTTTGTTGGTCATAACACCAGACTAGGATATGCCTCAGATAGTTTGACTCAAAGGTTTCATCCGCGAAGGACTCATTTGAATGAAGATACCTCATTTGGAAATTATAATATCCTGTGAAGGCTTGATAATTTCTGAAATAATTGTACTTATTAATCAGTATGTACTACGCATCATAAGCAGCCACAACAGTTTTAGCAGTTTATGGATCTTTGAAGGTGGATTACACGTTACAGAATTAGGTGCTTATTTTCAATATTTTTTTGTACTTGTAAATCAGTATGTGCTGCTTGTATGCACCATATATAATAAGTAGCCACGAGAGTTGTTTGAAGTTTATGGATCTTTTAGGTAGATAAAAATTTACAGAATTATGTCTTTAGATTTTTTTCTCTTGTTGATGTGTGTAGTTCTGCTGGTTTATAGACCAGATGCAAGTGTGTACCACTAATCACTTTTATTTTGAGAATCAATTTGATAACAAAATAATATAGTTCTGAAAATGTGATGGAGATGTCTGTTAGTTGTCAAATCAGCACCCAGTTGATTTGCTTCTTCGCATTCACATTTTCGTTTCTTTTACCTTCTGTATTTACTTTTTAGCACAGAATAATTTCTGCCATTTACTAAATCAAAACATCATGAGTTCCGGTCCTCTAATTGAACTTTACTGAAACCAAATAGTTAGGTGTGACTAAATTGTCACATCAACACATAGTTGCTCCCTCTCCCTCCCACCCCGCACAACACACAATACAGCTTTCACCTGAAGCAGTTGTAGGGTTATTTTTTTTTTTCTCAACTGTAATTACTTAAATAAACAGCATAGAAAGTTTTGCACTTCTCAGGATTGAAACTTATTCTTGTACGCAACAAAGCTTTGCATCTTCCAGTTGAGTTACTTTTTGCATCCATTGCAGACTACTGTTGTAACCACTAGACGGATTCTGGAACGAATTTGTGTCCATTATGTTTCAGAGAGAATGGCATGGAAACTTCTCAAAGGTACTTTCTTTCCATAAAATTTAAATCTAGTTCTGTTTGAGAAGAATAGGTTCAAAAAACAAGTGTGTAAATGTGATAAATTTAGCTAACTATGTGTTTTGCTTCTTCAAAATATGCGAGTTACTGACATACAAAATTTACAGATGTTCCTAAGTCCGCCACGAGGAAAGCTGGAAGAAGATTGCCTACTTTAGTTTTCTTCTTCAGTGTTAGCAAAACAACTATCAGAGGTAATATTCTAATTCATGTATTCTATTGAAATTGAAAGAAAAACAAATTGTGTGGTCTCTTTATTGTTGGTTGGTTGAGCTTTCAGTCTCACTGTGCCTTTCATGTATGTTTATTTGTTTACTCAGGGCACTTTCTAGGTGTGGCAGCGTCGTGGCTCATCCAAGTTGGCATTGAAATCTACCGATATTTTTCTCATACGATAAAGTCTAGAGAAGAGGTTGATGACATTGATACGGCAGAACAAGGCAAGATTCTTGGGAAGAAGGTTACAGTTACTACTCTCCGGTGTGGTGCATCACTAGTTTTTGCTTCCATTGGGGCAGGTATTGGTGCCTCACTCATCCGCCCTTCATCTGGCCAGTGGATTGGTAAGTGACTTTCTAATTTGTCTATATCTATTGGTAAGTGCATCGTCTATACATTTATATAATTTTTCTCTTTTTTTTCGCAGGCTGTCTTTTGGGGGATTTGGCAGGGCCTTTTATTGTAACAGCTTGCCTTGGGAGAGTTTACCACGCAGAACTTTGAGCACCGGGGATGACTTGTCTGACGTCTTTGCATTTGAGCAAATTTTAGAGGTTTAGACGAGACAATTTTTACTATGCGATGGTAGAGTGCTTAACAGCTGTACCACCTTGAAATCTAGTAAAGCAGGTGTTAAAAGGAGAAGTTTTTGCAACCGTTGGAGTTTCTCCTTTCTGGAATTATGTCATTCTGTTTGTTTACGGTGAAGTTTTTCAAATGGTGTTTATACTTTGGAGTTGATTATCATGATTTGTCTGATTAAACTCTGCATTGATTGTTTGTACTGCATATATATGCCAATTTTTCTCATGAATTTGTCGCTAACCTTTTAAATTACGCTGTTTGGTCCCGAAATTTAGTCATTGTCAATATTTAGCATTATTTTTATTTTTACATTTTTACAAGCGATATTGAGGGTAGAATCAAACGGACATTGAGTACATGAAGAATGCGGATAACTACTTGAACGACAGACTCCTTGGCACGATTATATCAAGTGTCCCAGATCATGACAACTGATACTACTCCGATTCCAAACAACACAGCCAAAAACTTGTAGTGGGGAGTGTCAACAGAGACTGCCTTGTGAACTGTATAACCCTTTGAAAGCAGATGGTTTATGGATACATATATGAACACGCCGCATGCCAGACCTATCGATATGGCAGAGATCCAATCTGCCGTTCTACCTTGAGTTGTGGCATCTATCGTGATCCCAACTCCGATACCAATTGGACTGGAAATGGCAAACAGAAAAGCATATGCTGTGCATGATAAGAAGGGACGGTCTGGAATCATTCGGAGGAGAGCAATGGCCATGGCAATGGCTGCAAAGATTTTGTGCAGACTGACTGTCCACAGAGCCTTCCAAGCTTCAGCTTTCGTGCTGGCAACTCCGATTGCGATACCCTCAAAGAAAGAGTGGAAACACAAGGCTACGATCAACAAGATGCTATCCCCAACTGAACCAACTGTTGCAGGGTGGTCACCATGAACATCATGGCCCTGCAGTCAAAGCATACATTACATAAAATATTCTCTCAGTTTTGGAATCACTAGACAATCTAACATGTTATGTTGCGTCTTGAGATTGAGGTCCGTTTGAAAGTGCTTTTGAAAAGCATGCCCAAAGCGTTTATGATCATGTTTGGGAAAAAAAAGTTAAATACTTTGCTAAAAAGAGCACTTGCATATTTATTAAATATTTCTAAACAGAGAGTGTTTTTTCTTTCATGGTCTTTATAGGATTTTAGAGAAGAAAGGAGTACGAGTAGCATATATCCAAGCTATACAGGATATGTATGAGACTGCCGTAAGAACTCATGAAGGACAAACCGAAAGCTTTCCCATAACTGTAGGATTACATCAAGGTTCATCCTTAAGTCCTTACCTTTTTGTGTTGGTAATGGATGAGTTAACAGGACATATTCAAGATGATATTCCTTGGTGTATGCTTTTCGCAGACGATATAGTGTTGATAGATGAAACTCAGGAATGGGTAAATGCAAAGCTTAACCTTTGGAGAGAAGTGTTGGAATCTAAAGGTCTTCGCCTAAGCCGATCAAAGACAGAATATATGGAGTGCAAGTTCAGTGCAAATGGAGGCCAAAACGAGTTAGGGGTGAGGATCGGAGATCAAGAAATACCAAAGAGCGACCGTTTTCGTTACCTAGGATCTATCTTGCAAAAGAACGGAGAATTAGATGGAGATCTCAACCATAGAATACAAGCTGGGTGGATGAAGTGGAAGAGTGCATCCGGCGTGTTGTGTGACCGCCGTATGCCACTGAAGCTCAAGGGAAAATTTTATAGGACGGCAATAAGGCCGACGATGCTGTATGGCACAGAATGTTGGGCGGTGAAGCATCAACACGTACACAAAATGGGTGTAGCGGAGATGAGGATGCTTCGTTGGATGTGTGGGCACACGAGAAAGGATAAGATTAGGAATGAGGATATCCGGGGTAAAGTAGGAGTAGCCAAAATTGAAGGAAAGATGAGAGAAAATCGGTTACGGTGGTTTGGACATGTGCAAAGAAGGCATACTGACGCTCCGATTAGAAGATGCGACTATGAGACAGAGGTTCAGGGCCGAAGGGGTAGAGGAAGACCTAGGAAAACTTTGGAAGAGACCCTAAGAAAAGACTTAGAGTACTTGGATCTAACGGAGGACATGACACAGGACAGAACACAATGGCGTTCTAAGATTCATATAGCCGATCCCACTCAGTGACTTGGATTTTCCAAGTCTCCAACCGAGAAGTTTTCCTCACTCGGGAAATTAAGGGAACACTACCTCAACCTACATGCTCCACTCACAAAGCTTCAACATACAAGCTTCAACAAAAGAAAATTCAAAGAACTTAGCGAAGAAGGCTTTGGTGTATTTAACACAATACGTTGAAATGAAGGAAAGCTTATTTATTGATATCCCCGATAAGTTACAAATATGTACATATACTTGAGTCAAAATAAACAAACAAGAGGGAGCCTTCACAAAGGTTGCTTAGGAGAAGTCTCAGCAGTCGGTAGAGCCCCAGAAAGAGAAGGCACCGGAGGGGGATCATTCGGAGCCTCAGTACTGGACAGAACCCTAGAAGGAGGAGGCATCAGAGGTTGATCATTTGGAGCTTCATTACGCGGTACAGCCCCAGAAGACGAAGGCAATAAATGCCTTTGGAACAAACCCACAAATCTCTGATGATCAAGTAAAACCTGACCATCAGATTCCTTCATCTGGTCAAGCTTCCTCTTCATGTTTGTAGCATAGTCATGTGCGAGCCGGTGCAACTGTTTATTCTCATGCTTGAGCCCTCTAATCTCCTGTTTGAGACTCATCACTTCAGCCGCCAATGATTCAACTTGGCGGGTTCGAGCAAATAGGCGTTGGGCCATATTAGACACAGAACCTGCACACTGAACACTGAGAGCCAGAGAATCCTTAACAGCCAACTCATCAGACCGTTTGGAAAGTAGTCTGTTATCTTTGGGAGTGAGAAGGTTCCTGGCCACTACCGCAGCGGTCATATCATTCTTCATCACGGAATCCCCAACGGTAAGAGGACCAGTAGGGGAGACGAAGGATGGGCGCCATATGTTGTCTGGAGAAGGCGGGGCTGCCTCTTCAACAAGGTTCAAGTCAAAACGACGGTCGGAGTGGCCAGACATTTTCAAAGGTGTTGAAGATAGAAGAGGTCGGACAAATCAAGATCTTAGAAGTGCAAGAATGGAGCTTCTACTGGTGGATATTCAAGTGTGCTTTGGAACTTAATGTCAGCCCCTATAAAAATCTGCACTCGACGAAGCTTCAGAAATCGAAGAGGCGCCTGCTCAGAAATCGAAGAGGCGTTTGCTTTCTCAAAAGCTGGGCTGCTCAGAGACCACGAGGGTCGATCTCAGAAATCGAAGAGGTGTTTGCTTTCTCAAAAGCTGGGCTGCTCAAAGACCACGAAGGCCGATCTCAGAAATCGAAGAGGCTTGCTTTCTCAAAAGCTGGGCTGCTCAGAGACCACGAGGGCCGATCTCAGAAATCGAAGAGGCACCTACTTTTTCCAGCCTTGTCAGCACCTGTCACACGCACACTCAGCTTTGCGGAAATTATGGGCATTCTGTCGAAGATTTCTGGCGAAGTAGAAAGCACATGAATCGTACTGTTCAATCACCCACTTCCCACACGCAATAGTAGCTCATGGGTACCACAGATAACTTTGCCAAAGTTCTCTGACAAAGTTGAGACACGTGAAGCTTGCAGCTCCCACTACATCGCTCTGACCAAGAAGGGTAAAAGAATAGCAAAGAAACAACACTAACAAAGTTTAAACACATAAATTTTGAAGGTCTAGCTACCATATTATTACCCACAAGGGTAAAGGAACAGTACCACTGCTGGATAATTGGAAAGTCCCGGTGTGTCAACCTCTGTGCTTCGTGGCAAGGTAGACTAGTAAACATGCCCAACCTTTACTCACATTCGAGAAAACACTCCCAACAAGATTGCTTGCTCCAAAATCGAAGAGGCACCGTCCTCCGAATCTCGAGAGCCAGACTCCCAACATGATTACTTTCTCAAAAATCGAAGAGAGGGTAAAGGAACAGCACCACTGCTGGATAATTGGAAAATCCCTGTGTGTCAACCTCTGTGCTTCGTGGCAAGGTAGACTAGCAAACATGCCCAACCTTTACTCACATTCGAGAAAACACTCCCAACAAGATTGCTTGCTCCAAAATCGAAGAGGCACCGCCCTCCGAATCTCGAGAGCCAGACTCCCAACATGATTACTTTCTCAAAAATCGAAGAGAGGGTAAAGGAACAGTACTACTGCTGGATAATTGGAAAGTCCCTGTGTGTCAACCTCTGTGCTTCGTGGCAAGGTAGACTAGCAAACATGCCCAACCTTTACTCACATTCGAGAAAACACTCCCAACAAGATTGCTTGCTCCAAAATCGAAGAGGCACCGCCCTCCGAATCTCGAGAGCCAGACTCCCAACATGATTACTTTCTCAAAAATCGAAGAGACACCGCTCTCCAAATCTCGAGAGCCAGACCCCCAGCAAGTTGCTTTCTCAAAAATCGAAGAGGCATCGTTCTCCGAATCTCGAGAGCCAGATCCCCGACAGGATTGCTTGTTCAAAAACCGAAGAGGCACCACTTCCCCAACTTCAAGAGCTGGATCTCCTTGGATAAAGCTTGTCTGTAATCTTCACACGCAACATCAGCTTTCCAGATACCACAGACCACTTTTTCAAAGTGCTCTGACAGAGTTAAAACATGTGAAGCTGGCAGCTCCCACTACCGTGCTATGACCAAGCAGGGTAAATGAATAGCATTATTACTTGATGTTAGGGAGACTCCTATATATGTCGACCTCCATCCCCAACGGACAGGCAGACCTGCAAAAATGCTCAACCCTTCCTCTTATCTGAGAGGGCACTCCCAACGAAGCCTTTCGAAATATTCAGCTTTCTTTCCCCCCGATAACACCTCTGTAAACAAGCTATACTAGAGCAAGAATATCTCATATCATCAGGGTTAAAAGCAAGAGTATCCCATATCATGCTTTTTCCTGTCTTTTCCTTTGGCCTTGTTCTTACCTGCAAGACAAGGAGAAAAGAGAGCAATCAGTCAGCACTTGGAATCAAGCTTCCAGCCAGGAACTGACTGCCTGGAACCCCTTACCTGATTACTTACCTGGCATTGCTCTCGAGTACTCATCTTCAACATCTTATGCTTCCAGGGAAGATACCGCATCTGCCTGAGGAACAGATAGGGCAAGTGAGAAGGATACAAGGAAGCATGTGGAGACGAGCGTAACAGCACACGTGCCGATACATCCACTACTCTGTCAAAAGAAAAAGTATCCCATATCAGCAGGGTCGAACGTACTCTAGATTTGATGGACTTGTTTTGACCCTCAAATTCTTCAGTCGGCCTTATACTCTGGAGGAAACCAGAAAACCCTCCAGCCCAGTTCAAGAATAAGCCTGTGGAAAGTTACTTCTTCAAAAGCAAAAGTATCCCATATCATCTCTTCTCTCATTTTCTTCTCTTTATCCTTCATGCTGCCTGCAAGATAGGGAGAATGTGAACAATCAGCCGGAGCTCTGATTGCTTACCTTGTCTGTCACCTCTTTCAGCAGATCCCCTAGCTCGGCGACTTGGGGGACTCCTACTACATGGTTTGTATCGCGCTTGACCAAGCCTGAAACTACAAGTAAGCTTCAAGTGAAATTGATACATTACCTTGTGCATCTCCACCAGTTACAGATACCACCCCTGGATGGAGGAAGAGTACTTCCAGAGAAGATGCCACATCTACCTATGAGACAGATAAGGCAAGTCAAGACGATACCACACTCCGGTACTTAGAAGTTTCGTGGTTACGAGATCATTCTCCCACAATATTTCCTAATGTCATTTGTACTAAATCATTCACTTGTACTCACTAAAGGAGAGCTTGAACCTATGTACTTGTGTAAACCCTTCACAATTAATGAGAACTCCTCTATTCCGTGGACGTAACCAATCTGGGTGAACCACGTACATCTTGTGTTTGCTTTCCTATCTCTATCCATTTATATACTTATCCACACTAATGACCGGAGCAATCTAGCGAAGATCACAAAAAATGACTGTTTTCGCTACCTAGGATCTATCTTGCAAGAGAACGGAGACTTAGATGGAGATCTCAACCATAGAATACAAGCTTGATGGATGAAGTGTAAGAGTGCATCCGGCGTGTTGTGTGACCGTCGTAGGCCACTGAAGCTCAAGGGAAAATTTTATAGGACGGCAATAAGGCCGCGATGTTGTATGGCACAGAATGTTGGGCGGTGAAGCATCAACACGTACACAAAATGGGTGTAGCGGAGATGAGGATGCTTCGTGGGATGTATGGGCACACGAGAAAGGATAAGATTGGGAATGAGGATATCCGAGGTAAAGTAGGAGTAGCCAAAATTGAAGGAAATATGAAAGAAAATCGGTTCCGGTGGTTTGGACATGTGCAAAGAAGGCCTACTGACGCTCCGGTTCGAAAATGTGACTACGGGACAGAGGTTTAGGGCCGAAGGGGTAGAGGAAGACCTAGGAAAACTTTGGAAGAGACCCTAGGAAAAGACTTGAGTACTTGGATCTAACGGAGGACATGACACAAAACCGAGCGCAATGGCGTTCTAGGATTCATATAGCCGACCCCACTTAGTGGGAAAAGGCTTTGTTGTTGTTGTTGTTGTAGAGTGTTTTTTCTTTAAGAAGCAATTTCCAAAGTCATGAATTAGGACCACCGATAAAGTTATATACCGGTTCAGTTTTATTCAATTGAAAAACATAGCATATTGAATATATGGCAATATACCATATTTCTGCTAGTAAGTTAGTAACTTGTATACTCTACTCAGATAATAGAAAACCTACGTATCTCACCTTTTGAACGGCCTTTCCTGTAACATAACAAGAAAATCGTAAAATCAGAATCTTCACCGAATCGAAAGAACTGAAAACAAAATGGTTAGCAAAAGGTTCACAGCCTATAACAGTGCTTAGCAAGAGCACATATCATGAATTAGCACCTACTTTGAACTTCAGGGTCACTGTCCTTCTGCTTAGCATACACATATGAAACCACAGAATCCCCAAGCATGGTGATCAAGAACCCCAGGCTCGCCATCATATATGCAAAAGGGTATTCCTTCTCAGTCAAGCTTTCGAAAGTCTTGTTTGAATCACTGAGAAAGTGCATGAGAGCAGTTCCAAGAAAAATACCGCCGGCAAACTGCGTTCCTAGAACCAGAAACCCCTCGTTCCACTTTAAGAAGTAGGGAGACATTCCGGCTGCAAATGTCCCAACAAAAACCAAAACCATGCACCATATCTTTACGAGCATTAGAGGCTTAGAGTGAAGGCTGCGAGCGTGGTTGTTCTTGTTGGTTTCATCACCGTCGTCGCTGCTGTAGGCCAAGGTGGAGAGGGTGAGGAAGAGGAAGAGAGAAAGCTTGAGAAGATTGTAGCCAGCCATGTTGTACTGGTGCATGAAAAAGGTTGAAGGTTTGGATGTGTTATTATACAACTGGTGTTTTGGAGTTTACCTTCACTATATTCGTACGAGTAGTAAAAAACAATAATCAGTGACTAGACTGAAATTGATTTAAAGCATTTTGTTTTCTTTTCCCTGTTTTTAAAAGCATTTTTGGTCTGACCAAATAGAAGCATGCAATCTTACTGTCTAAGGTCATATAAATAATTTAGGAAAATCTGTTCCTTGTTTGACAAAATTTCATAGATGAAAACTACGTTGGCACCTAATCGGGCTCTGATTGGTGCAGTTGGGTAACAAATCAAAGACGAGAAAGCAAGGAGAAAAAATAGAAAACAATTGGTAACTTTTAGGTTATGGTTACTTATACTACTAGATGAGCACACACCCTGTGTGTGTGAACATTTTCATTTTAGTTTTTGTTATTGATTAAGGAGTATGATTATTTTTTAAAATTTTAAAAAGAGTATGAAATAATAATGATGAGACAATTTCTCTTGATAATGCATATTTTTTCTTTATATTACATAATTACTGTTTTGTCATAGGAAAAATAGGTATATGATTGTCATTTTCTAAAAAATGAGAGTATAATAGGAAAAATAGGTATATGATTGTCATTTTGTCAAAAGGTACAAAATTAAAGCCTTTTCAACCGCTCACCTTCTTTTACGTTCTTCTCAAGCGCAACCACTTTAGTTCGTTCAAACTATCCAAAAAACATCATGATTTCACTTGTATGAAAAAAATGATGGTAGGACAATTTCTCTTAATAAGTGCATATTTTTTATCTTATGTAAATATTGTGTATTAAAAGTAAGGGTAAAATAGGAAAAATAGAGATATAATTGTCATTTTCTCAAAAGATACAAAATTACTATTTTGCCTTTCTTATGTAAATATTGTGTATCAAAAGTGAGGGAAAACTAGGAAAACAAGGGGCAAAAAGTTCAAAAGATACAAAATTACTATTTTGCCCTCCTTATGTAAATATTGTGTATCAAAAGTGAGGGCAAAATAGGAAAAAAGGGCAAAAAGTTGACAAGGAGGGTTCACTTAATAGAATAGATTAAATGTTATTTATATTTTTATATTTCATGTTATTTATATTTATATTTTAATTTCATGATTCTTCTTTTTCTAAGTCTACACTAGTTCATTTTAACATATTTTAGTACAAATATTTAGATACACTAATTCATTATTAATATATTTCGGTACAAACATTTGGATACACAAATTCATTACAATATAATTCGGTACAAACATTTAGATATACTAATTCATTATAATATATTTCGGTACAAACATTTAGGTAAAGACATTTAGATACAAACATTTAGATACACTAAATTCTCATAACATATTTCGGTACAAACATTTAGGTACAGTCATTCGTGTACACTTATGTATTTAAATATTTTTCTTATGGGTCACTAATTTCTTTTAATGTTTTTTCATTTAAGCTTATTTATAATTTGAAGAACTAAAATGTGTATATTAATAAAATCAAAATTTTAATGTGGAGACATTAAATGAAAATACACATTGCATAACGAAAATAGAATATGAGTTTTAATAAATAGAATATCCAAAGTTCCTTATATGTATCTCAGCACCCTTTTTATAGTATTGAAGTGTATCTTTGTAGGAATTTGCATAAATCATGAGAGTAAGCTTGCAACAAACATGGTATCAGGCCTTGCAGCTGTTAAGTATAACAAACTACAAACTATTTGTCTATAGAGAACTTTTGCAGGATCACTGTCATCGTCTCTTTTCAATTTCTCATTCATTGCAAGTGGTATACTCACAGACTTGCAATCTTTCAAACCAAATTTGTCCAAAAGTGCATGATCATGCTTCTTTTGATTAATAAAGATGCTATACTAGATTTCATTTTGTTTAGTGAAATTGATTTTTGTTCATCAGTTTCAGACACCATGACATAGTTTGCAACTGTATGCTTGGATTGAATGTACATGTGATTGCAAAGCACAAATGCAAAAAGATTATGCATTTGGATTTCTATAATTCTGCATTCAGTTTGAGTAATAGTTGTCTTTTGAGAGAAGGTTGTTGTATCCTTGGTTCAGTGATCGATGTGCTTCTTTTTGTAATCAAATTGTTGTTATCAATGACACACCCCGACCTGGAAAGGTCGAAGCATGCTGGCCATCACCGTGAGGTGACGTAACCATAAGGGTAAGTGATGCAAAAATTGAATAAAATTAAAACTAACTATACTAAATCACAAAAGGGAAAGAGTGTGCAATCGCGGGATGAACCCACTACAATTATTCAGAGCGTAAAAGACAGTGAGACTACAGAAGAGTAGTCAAAGTAACTAAAGTACACTTATTACACAACAGTGATAAGTTCGTACGTCTAAGCATAAGAGAATGTCAGAACTACCGAGATTCCTCGAGTGCCACAAAGAGTACAACTATCTAGGTCCTGGAGGGGCGAAAAACAAGGTTGAGTGGGTCAGCAAAACAATGTTTAAAGGAAAACCTTTGTCTTGAATATACTAACCCTCGCAGTAAAACAAGTATAGTTTCCTTAAAACATACTATATAGGTATGTAAACAATAAATCAACAACATTATAACCACAAATATGCCAAGTCATGATATATCAAATGCCACAATAAAATAATCATGTAATAATCAAGTATAACTAAGTGCTTATCCATCTAGGTTGACACACGAGTTCGAACAGATAATTTCTGACACGAACATACTGGGTGTAATCAATATGCTCTAGTACTATGATCACGTGAAGGCTGGTGCAGAAACACGGTCACATACAAGTCGGTTGTCTAATGCAATCTACCCGACAGGACTGGCACCTAACTTGGATCCAAGGCGAGCGAATGGTGCGATGTGAACATACACGTGAAGGACTGGCCCTAGCCCTAGGGCGAGTACTAACAAGATGAACATGTACAAATATGTATGAATGCCATGACAGTAATAGCATTTATCACAATTAATATCACTATAACGATACTTGGCAAAATGAGCGTAAAAGTGAAGTAAATACGCATTTATGGAAACTATAAATATGTATAGGTATAAAAACAAACTACCCACTCACAAGTACGTTGCTGGGTCGTAGCCCCCGAGCCTAGCTTGGCCTCGAACGTCCTCGGGATACATTTCCCCTATATGTGAAATAACTAAAATAAAATTAATTAAAGCACATATACGGAAACCTAAATAAAACCCCAATAGTTTGCTCAAACCTAGGGTTTAAATATACCATCGTGACCTACTTGACGTCACGAACATCCCTAAAATTTTAAAATAAATTTTTGGACGGTTCACGAGCCCCCCGCTCCCCACACGCAGGCCAGTGCCTGACGTTCGTCAGGAATATTCTACGAAATATTCCATTAAAAGCTAACAGAAGCTAACAGCGTTACCTGCGCCGTTAGGAATATTCTGTCTCCTCTTTGGTGAGCCCTGCCGTCGCCGTCGTTCGCCGAGTTTCTGGAAAAATTTCAAATTCACTATTCTCCTTCATTTCTTAACCATTTTCGACGTACTAAATATGGATTTGAAGGTAGGAAAGAGTAGAGTCGCGTTATACCTGTTTGGAGTCCAAAAAGTGGATGGAGGTCGCTCGAAAAAGCCTCAAAAGTTCCGGCCAAAAATGAAATCTTCGAAACTCGGTTGTTTCACGTCGACCTTCTTCCAAAACAAGCCTAGGACCTTCAAAATGACGTGTAGAAGCCTTCCCAAGTTTCAAAACATTTCAACTCGTTCGAATACACGTCGAACTCAATGGATCCGAGTTCGGGCCTCACGAGTTAACGATTCAAAACTCGTCTAGACTAGGTTTCAAGAACATGGTTGTGATCGTGAAGATGAGGGGAGTACAATGGTGTGGTTTTTAGGTTCGATCTGAGAGCTTTGAAGCTTGTTGAGGGTTTTGCAGAGAAGAGAGAGTATACGGGAGATAGAGAAGGAAAAGAGAGAGAGAGAGAGAGCTCATTTTTCTGATTGGGGGATAAAAATGAAGGAGAGATGGGATTGGTGGGAGAGTGAATAATGGAGAAGGGTGCACGGGATGGGCTAGGTAAAAGCTAGGGATAAGGTTTTAGATTTTGTACAGAAAAAGTATTGAAAATCTATCCGGAATAGTATTTTTGTACTGATAATATTTACGTACACTCACAACAATGTGTACAATTTAAATGCGATAGCGAGAAATGAAATGAAAGCGATAAGAACACGTCCACGTCACTTGCCAATAAGGGCATAATCGTCAATACACATACTCGGGGAGAAATTACATAGGAAAATTAGGGACGGGTCGTCACAATCGACACTCAAAGTGGGAAAATGTAAGATTAATGTTAAGCTGTCAATTGTTATGAATCCTTGAAAGGCAAATAACTTTATCTTCAAGTTATTTGAATTTTAACGTGATTCAATATTGATTAGCAAGAATTATGGAAACAAGAGATACTTTAATTGACCATTTGGAACCCAAATTAAGACAGACATATTGTACATGCCTTGGTCGGACAACATTTTAATTTAATAGTGATTTGGCATATCTCTCTGTTAGCTATACTAAGTGGTTTTAGAGGAACCCTAATCACTATATTAAGGGTGTCCTTGTTTACACAATATACACGTTTGATTCTAAGCAAACTCTATTATTGCTGGAACACTTTCGTTTGCTGACAGTAGAAGACTCTTCTGTCATCTGCAAGAGCCATGTATTCCGTATTCTACGGATAAGTTTATTTCTATTTCATGTTGATTTAATTTATCGCATTTGTGATCCTAATGTCTTGTTGTTGCCGTTGTTCTTATGATTTCAGAAAATATCGTACAACTCTCACACACACTAATGAGAGAGGAAAGTGACGGGGTAACAAATTCACACATTTCACACGCCTCACACACTCACGTACCTTACACGAATAATATTAAAACAAACTTAGCTGCTATGATAGCTGGTACAAT